AGGAATGAGGGGCATCAGCAGGGCCAGGGGGTGGTTTTCTACTTAAAACTGGGTACTGGGTCAGAACCAGCCATCAATGTTTACAGATGGGTTCTGGTACAAAAAAGGTTGAGAACACCATGGGGTTGGACTAAATCAGCCAAAAGCAGGACCACAACCTCTGAAACCCTGCCTCTGGCAGATTGGAACAACCGACTGCATGTGGTACACTTTTCTGCTCATGTTTCTCAAATAAGTTCTAACATAGCCGACTGAAATCTTACTTGGTATCAAAAAAGTTACCTTGCTTCTGGTCTGCTCTTTAGGGAAGGATATATAATTTTTTTTTTAAAGTTTGTATTTCTTCTCCCTTGGGATCTCATTATTTGCATATATGGTAAGCTGAGTTTTAAACTGAGTACTATATCATTACCCTACACTTTAAACAACTAGTTTTTGTTGCTCCATGACTGTTTTTACTTGGTGCAAACCCACTAATCCTTCCATGTCACAATGATCTACAACCCTACTTGAATACATGGGGTTCATAAGGCCTAGCAAATTAAAGTGGCCAACTAAAAAAAAATCCTTGTTAATGACATCATTTAATCTACATTCCTCTTAACAAGGGTGCCCTACTCCCCTAATAGACTTACAAATTTGTTTTCACTTGTATTTGACCCCTTTGTACCTAACAGGATCCTAAATGCTTGTTTTAAAGTAGGTGTCAGCCATCTGCAGCCCTCTGGCTGGGAAGCTGAAAACCAACGTGGGGTATCAGTAATAGAGCCAGGCTGCCCATCCCTTCCACAGGGTTGGGGGAGTCCTGAACACCCCTCACCCCTTTTTGTTGCAATAAGTACATCGCTACATTCCTCCTCCCAGATACTTTGATCCCAGTTCAGTCCGAACCGCAATAATCAGCGTGCAAGAGAAGCGATTGGGAGGGACAGTTTCACAGCTGTGGAGATGCACAGGCCAGTAACACAGACTTCTTTTTGTCACCTGGATTATGCTGGCAGCCCTAAACTCTTCCCATTGCATTTTCACCCTGTCACAAAACCTAGAGATTAAAACCAGGTAGTCTGCATAGGGAATTGAATGTAACAGGGCACTTTTTACAGATAATGGTATTAACACCATTTGTTTCTTAGCCACCCCCCAACAGCCTAAGTCACTGTACTTGAATTTTCCACACAGCTTTTAAGTGGGATACAACTGATGACACCTAGGAAAGAACAATAGCGAACAATGGTCACAGGTCATGACTCAAGTTTCCTTGCTTCCTACCAAATTGGTCAAGAGCTCCTTATCTCCAGGGAATGGGTGGGAATACAGGAATTTGAACTTGAACTCTGTAACACCCCCTCCCTCCCCCATTCTCAACCTCTTGTGGGCTAAGTAAGCTGCACTGGTCTGATACTAGAGCCAAGCCGGATTTAAAATGGCACTGTAGTGGAAGGTGCACCCTGCAAGGTCCAAATGCAGACAAGACTCCCTGTGAGTCTCACAGTTAGCTTCCCACTGGCCAGCTTCCAGTGGGAGGATCTTGGCTACACACAGACTTTATGGAAATGTAGGATTCCTCCCTAGCTTCCTCCTGGGCTGTTGGCTGAGGGCAAGCAAAACTCAGGGGCATCCAAACCCCAAGCCTCCAGGCTTTGGCAGGCATCTTGTGTGCAGGCCCATGGATCTGGAAGTATCTGAAGCCCCAAGCTAAAAAGTCTGGGATGGAAAATACTTGCCAGTAGTAGGGACACATAGTTTTTCAACAATTTAAAGGATTGTGAACTGATCTGGCTAATTTGACCTGCAACACACAAAAATTCCAAAAAAAGCCAGACAGGCAAAGGTGGGGGAGTCTGGAACTCGCCTCCAGCCACATGGGCAGCTTCTGAGGTGCCCCAAGACCTTGCCACCTGTCCAGGAATAAGCCTTTCTGGG